CATGGCTAATGCCCCTCTAGGCCTAGCCATAACCATTCTTCTTTTTCTAGCATTCAGCCCTTGTCTCCTACACCTTCTCACTCAGTTTTTAATGGACTGTATCAGAGCCTTCACCCACAGGACAATACAAGATATGATGCTGCTCCAAGAATACCAACAGATTCAAGAACGGCAGTCCCTACTGTCCAGTCTGCCCCTAAAAACTGTTGCCCCTTCCCAGCAAGAAGCAACCAGATGACAACAGCGCCCCTCTTCTATTACCTATTAAAGGGCTGGGAAGTTAGGGACAAACTGCCCCAAAAAAGCTTCTTGGCGCTGCCCACTCCTCCCTCTAATGCTCTGCAACCCTTCTCTGTGCCACCCACCCTTCCCCCAAGCCTCTTTACATTTCCAAGCTCTTATCTAGGCGCCGCTGCAGAGCCAGCAGACTTCACTCATCAGACCTTGCTGCAATAAGCAAACCCCAATTACAAACCATCCAGACCACACAGCAGAAGATCGTGGGAAGTATAAACAAACTTTACCTACACCCTCCTGTAAGTTCCTGCTCTTCATCTAGTTGCTACCATAAACATCACAAGGTAATATGTGGCAAAATTAACCAGCAAACAACCCTGAGATGGCTGGGCGTGGTGGCTCATGCCTGTAATCCCAGCACTTTGGGAGGTCGAGGCGGGTGGATCACGAGGTCAGGAGATGGAGACCATCCTGGCCAACATGGTGAAACTCCGTCTCTACAAAAAACACAAAAAATTAGCCAGGTGTGGTGGTGGGCGCCTGTAGTCCCAGTTACTCGGGAGGCTGAGGCAGGAGAATGGTGTGAACCCAGGAGGCGGAGCTTGCAGTGAGCCGAGATGGTGCCACTGCACTCCAGCCTGGGCGACAGAGCAAGAACCTGTCTCAAAAACAAAAATAAAAAAAAATAAGAACAAACCAACCCTGGGATGCCACCATACCAAAGAACTCCCTCAAACTCCCCTCCCCAATATACATCCCTCATTCTGTAAGCTTGGGGCTACTTCCTCTGTCTGTTAAGGGGGCAGCTGGCAGGTTAATGAAAACTTGCTTGCCTGACTTTGGGTCTATTTTTCCTTTCTCTTGGCTGACCTTAGTCAGGACATGGCCATGGGTCTCTCTATTCTGCCTGGTCCCCTCGACCAGGCAGGCCCACTCACACAAAACATGAGGAACTGAGCCTAGCTCATACAGCACCCTCACCACAAGACACACAAGGAACTGAGCCTAGCTCTTACAGTGACCCTCACACAAGAAACAGGAGCAACTCAGCCTGGCGTGAGCAGCGCCCTCACCACACGCAACACGAGGAACTCAGCCTGGCATGTACAGCACCATCACCACATGAAACACAAGGAACTCAGCCTAGCGTGTGCAGTGCCCTCACCAAAAAAAACACGAGGAACTCAGCCTGGTGCATACAGCGCCCTCACCACATGAAACACGAGGAACTCAAGCAGCAGCCTTCACCACACAAAACAGAGGAACTCAGCCTAGCGCGTGCAGCAGCCTTCACCACACGAAACACGAGGAACTCAGCCTGGCACACACAGCAACCCTTACCACCGGAAACACAAGGAACTGAGGCTAGCGCGTGCAGCGACCCTCACCACACAAACACGAGGAACTCAGCCTAGCGCGTGGCACCCTCACCACCGAACACGGAACTCACCGTGTGCAGCGCCCTCACCACGCGAAACACGAGGAACTCAGCCTGGCGTGTGCAGCGCCCTCACCACACGAAACACGAGGAACTCAGCCTGGCGGTCAGCGACCCACCGCGACCGAGCTCGCCGCCCCCCCTCACCACACGAAACACGAGGAACTCAGCCTGGCGCGTCGCGACCTCACCGACCAGGCCAGCCTGGCCGTGCAGCGACCCCACCACAACACGAGGAACTCAGCCTGGCGCGTACAGCGACCCTCACACGCGAAACACGAGGAACTCAGCCTGGCGGCACGCCTCACCGCGAACCGAGCTCACCTGCGCGTGCACGACCCCACACGCGAAACACGAGGAACTCAGCCTGGCGCGTGCAGCGACCCCCCCACGCGAAACACGAGGAACTCAGCCTGGCGCGTGCAGCGACCCTCACACGCGAACACGAGGAACTCAGCTGCCGTGCAGCGACCCTCACCACGCACGAACTCAGCGGCGTGCAGCGACCCTCACACGCGAAACACGAGGAACTCAGCCTGGCGCGTGCAGCGACCCTCACCACCGAAACACGAGAACTCAGCCTGGCGCGTGCAGCGACCCTCACACGCGAAACACGAGAACTCAGCCTGGCGCGTGCAGTGACCCTCACACGCGAAACACGAGGAACTCAGCCTGGCGCGTGCAGCGACCCTCACACGCGAAACACGAGGAACTCAGCCTGGCGCGTGCAGCGACCCTCACACGCGAAACACGAGGAACTCAGCTGGCGGAGCGACCTCACACGAAACACGAGGAACTCAGCCTGGCGCGTGCATGCAGCGACCCTCACCACACGAAACACGAGGAACTCAGCCTGGCGGTGCAGCGACCCTCACCACCGAACACGAGATCAGCCTGTCGCACACGCGAACACGAGGAACTCAGCCTGGCGCGTGCAGCGACCCTCACCACACGAAACACGAGGAACTCAGCCTGGCGCGTACAGCGACCCTCACACGCGAAACACGAGGAACTCAGCCTGGCGCGTGCAGCGACCCTCACCACACGAAACACGAGGAACTCAGCCTGGCGCGTACAGCGACCCTCACACGCGAAACACGAGGAACTCAGCCTGGCGCGTGCAGCGACCCTCACACGCGAAACACGAGGAACTCAGCCTGGCGCGTGCAGCGACCCTCACACGCGAAACACGAGGAACTCAGCCTGGCGCGTGCAGCGACCCTCACACGCGAAACACGAGGAACTCAGCCTGGCGCGTGCAGCGACCCTCACCACACGAAACACGAGGAACTCAGGCTGGCACGTACAGCGACCCTAGCTGCTGGGAGGCTCCACTCTCCCTTGTGCTTGGCCTTTCTGTTTCCACTTTACCAAAAGGTCCGACATGTGTTCCCTAACAGGCAAAAGACAGATTCACATTCCGACATCTGTCCGGCATGATGTCTGTGGTGAAATGTGACTAATTCACAGTAACCGTGATGAATAACCCCACAGTGAGCCTCCCATCAGCCAAGAGAAGTTTTGCTGACAAATTCAGCATGAGGCAGGTCAGGTTTTGTCAATAAATGAGTCCCAAGAAACCTTTTGGTTTCCAAAGCTTTTATAGATTTTGGAATTGTGGGAACAAGATTTTAAACCTGTGCCAGGCGCGGTTGCTCATGCCTGTAATTCTAGCACTTTGGGAGGCTGAGGTGGGCGGATCACCTGAAGTCGGGAGTTCAAGACCAGCCTGACGAACATGGAGAAACGTCTCTACTAAAAATACAAAATTAACCGGGCGTGGTGGTGCATGCCTGTAATCCCAGCTACTTGGGAGGCTGAGGCAGCAGAATCACCGGAACCCGGGAGGCGGAGGCTGCAGTGAGCCGAGATTGCATCATTGCACTCCAGCCTAGGCAACAAGAGCGAAACTCCATCTCAAAAAAAAAAAAAAAAACAATAAAAATAAAGAATTTAAACTTGTATAAATAAATTCAATTCATATTACATGCCACAAAGAATATTTAAAAATACAGCTCTGGGCTGGGCACAGTGGCTCATGCCTGTAATCCCAGCACTTTGGGAGGCCAAGGTAGGTGGATCACAGGGTCAGGAGATTGAGACCATCCTGGCTAACATGGTGAAACCCCGTCTCTACTAAAAATGCAAAAAATAATAGCTGGGTGTGGTGGCAGAGGCCTGTAGTCCCAGCTACTTGGGAGGCTGAGGCGGGCTTGAACCCAGGAGGCAGAGCTTGCAGTGAGCTGAGATCGCACCACTGCACTTGAGCCTGGGCTACAGAGCAAGATTCTGTCTCAAAAAAAAAAAAAAAAGAAAAGAAAAAATATAGCTCTGGTGGTAGGCCTAGCTTCTATTCCAGAAAATGGCAGGATCTTGTGACGAAAGGAGAGAGGAGAAAATGCAGGTGAGCAGGAAACAGCTCCAAGCGGCGAGATAAGCACATCAGCCCAGTTCGGTGGCTGGTGCACTGTGGGCCACCTTGTGTGCTGGTGAGATGCGGGCAGCTTTGTGCTCCAGATATCTGCCTCCTCCAGATGAATTCACAGGACCTGGCCTCATGAGAAGGGACTCTCGGTTGACACTTCTGGCTGCAGTGAAATTGCCATTCAGCTTTCCAAAATGAAAAGTTACCAGTATGAACCATCTGGATCAAAGGAGAATATGTCCTGAAGTGCATTTCTGTATCAGTCTGTTGAACAGGTGGGATCAGACTTTGACCCCTCAGATGTGTCCCCAGACCTTAACCTCACTGCCACCTGCCTGGAGGCCCACTGGGAGCAAGAGGTGCAGCCCTCCACCCCCATGCACTTCTTCAACTCAACACCATTCACCTCGGAGTGGGACCGGCCCCCATCTCCTCGTCCCTGGGCCATTGCTCCTTCCCGAGGGCTGGGCAGAGTGGGAGGTTTGGAGGCTGGAGCAGGGAAGGGTGGGATTGGGGCTTTCTAGAATCCAACTGTGCCAGAAGGTGCCTCATCCTCACACTTGTGGCCAGGGCACCCTACCTGATATGACTGCACCTCTCAGGGGAGGCCCGGCTCACCCCTCCCCATGGCAGCCCCATCAAGCACCTCACAGCAAGCCCAAGGAGGCGGCTGCCCACACCGCCAGGGTGTGCGGGAGGCAGAACAACTGAGGATTGGTGCTCTTCTCCGGGAAGGCCAGGCAAGGCCAAATATGTACAACAAGTAAAACGAAAGCCTAGTCGATTTGCTGTTAAATTAAAAACAGTAAAACAGAAAGTAAAACCAGAATGACCATGACATCTGGATTGGAAGGGCCCCTCCCGCTGCAGGAACCAGGAAGGAGCCCGGCCTAGCGCTACCTGGCGATCTCATAGAACACGCAGCCGGCGCTCCACAGGTCCATCTTGTACGTGTAGAACCCATCGGTGAGGAGACACTCTGGGGCCCGGTACCATCGGGTGGAGATGTATTCCGTGTATGGCTGCTTGGAATAGACACTCCGGCAGGAGCCAAAGTCCCCTAATTTCAGGACATCCTGCTGGAAGGGGAGAGAAGCAAGGACAAGCAATGTCCCATTATGTGGCTATCGTAATACAAACCACTCCAAATATTTATGCACTAGCAGGAAAATTACTAGCATCTAAAGTAGTCTGTAAAATGCCAATTACTGGCTTTATGAGCACCTGAAAGTGCCTCCAGCAGATGAGGAAGTGATGTGTCTATTCAGTGGAACAAGTTTACAAATATTCTGGCTATGTTTTACATATATTTCCAAATGTCTACGGGTTTGAAAATGGTTAACTCACAGCGCTTCAACAAATGAACGACACACACTAGTCGTCGGTCTGGTCATGCTGCCAGCTTGCCCAGCAAGGGCTTTTTTAGCCACACAGCCCCAGAGGACCCTGCTGACAGCCAGTGACAGGCGCTGGGAAACAGCAAATGGTACGGTTTAAACACAGGTAGTTTAGTGGCCTGGGAGAGAGACGGACCTGAGCTCAGATCCTGCCTCTGCCACATTTCTCTCTAGGGGGATCGAACGGCCATCAGAACGGGCTTCCTCTCTGTCTGCAGTGTAAGAAGGGCACGTTCTATTATTTTCTTCCAGGTGCAGTCAGTTATGTTGATGGCATTTATTAAATAAACCATTTTTTACAACCTGAGAGGGAAAAAATTACTGTAACAAATAGGCTGTCTAGCTGCATGGACTGAAAGTTCCTCCAGCAGGAGGAGAAAACCTTTCAGGGAAAGGGTTTCTATTCAACTTTTATTCTGATACCCAGCTTTCATGTAAAAGCTCTTACCTTTATTAGTATATTTTCTGGTTTTACATCTCTGTGAAATATTCCATTTCTGCATTCAGTATAAAAGGAAAAATAGAATTACACTTCATTTATTCAAATTCTTGAATTTGAATGTTAACACATCTTATTAATTTCAGAGCTGTCAAATCTCCAAGAGCATACCTGTGAATGTGATCAAGGGACTTACATAACTGGTACATATAGTGCATAATTTTTTTTTCTGATAATGGGTATCTTCTCCCTGTATAATCAAGAAAATAGGCAAATATGGTTACTGATGGTACATATCCCCTTTTTTGAAATAAAAATAATCCATTTTTATTTAACGATGTATGAAAATCTAAGTTCCCCTGTAAAAAATAATCTGAAGTAGTCTTAGGAAATATATAGTGTACCTACAAAACATACCATTTAAAATTCCATAGACTGGCCAGGGGCGGTGGCTCACGCCTGTAATTCCAGCACTTTGGGACGCTGAGGTGGGTGGATCACGAGATTAGGAGTTTGAGACCAGCCTGGCCAACGTGGTGAAATCCCATGTCTACTAAAAATACAAAAATTAACCGGTGTGGTGGTGGGCGCCTCTAATCCCAGCTACTCGGGAGGCTGAGGCTGAAGAATTGCTTGAACCCAGGAGGCAGAGGTTGCAGCGAGCCGAGATCCCACCACTGGACTCTAGCCTGGGCAACAAGAGCGAAACTCCGGGGGGGAAAAATAAATCTGTATACTGGCATGATCTCATTTAAAATTACACAGCACATACATTTTTAATGGAAAATTCCTTTTTATTTTTCTTTTTGGCAGTTTATAGAAGTTTATTCTACATCCTCAACTATGTGTTAGTAGCACCATGTAATTTTTAGGATTGTTGTCAAATTTGGGGAAACTGCTAAGTTTCTTTCATATCTGAGTTATAAGATTTCATATTTCAAGTTTTCTATGGAGTGAATGCTCTTTAATTTGAATTGACTATACTCAGAGTATTCCTAGAAGACATCCCAAATGAGATGGCCGGCAATAACGTAACTATTAATACATGGAAGAGACTGCAAAGCATATAAATGTATCCCAGCCAACCCTTAACAAGATTCCAGACATGTCCACGGCTGTTTCACCGTTATGCTGAGGGGAAGTATGACGTAGGAGAGGTTAAAATAGAAGAGATGGCAGTCTTAACTTTGTGGTTGAAATACCTTATTTTTGCAAATTTAACAAAATATATAAACATGGTGAAGATACCGCAAGGGCCTTTTTTGGAAGGCACCCAGGCAAGTCAGCTCTATCAGCTGCCAGAGACTCTGCCTCGGCTCCTCTGTTCTAACATACGTGGTTTTTCTGAGTTTTGAAACAGGTAAAGCAGGTTTGGGAAATTGCCAGACAACTGAAAAATTAATAAACAATAAACATTACTGAAGAATGACAAAGAATTGTTGATAATTTTTTCCTTTTTAGTGGAAATGTAGTAATTGTACCTATTCATGGGACCCAGAGAGTGTTATTTTGATCCATACATACAATGTATAAGGATGAAATTGGGGCAATTAGCACGTGTGTCACCTCCAACATTGGCCACAGCTCTGTGAACATTCAGAGCGCGTGTGCTATGGTTTCAGTGGGAACAGCACTGAGCGATCGCCGCACAATAGCATGGTCTGACAGCCTCGGCCGGCCTTGGAGGCCTTCCAGGACGCTGTCCTTCAGCCTGCACTGATGATGAAAATGTTAGGAGTCACTCGTCAACCCAGTGTTACGCTAGGCTTTCCTGTTTATGTGGAGATGTCCACTTTAAAGGCGGATAGATCACAGTTCAATAAGCAGTTCAACTGCTTTCAGTCTCGGTCCACATGTCTTCTTTCACAGGAGAGGCCGTTTAGCGTGGCTGGCACAGTCCCCTGCAGCTGCCCTGTACTCAGCGCCTGGGCTGGCTGTGCCTTGGTGCCCGCAGCTTTCTACTGTGTTTGAAGACTTCATACCACACGCCCAGCATCACAGCTTACCCTTGTTCCAGAAGATGTCAATTTTACTTGATTTTAATTTTCAAAGTGTGTGTTTTAAGTTATTAAGTTTTAAATCTGCACAATGACCACGTTCACCTAACAGTTTGGAAATCCACTTCCTCCCTCCATAAGCACATATACCATTTGATACCTTTGGTCCTAAGTTTACAATTTCTTTTGAAAATTAAAATTATTCTTTTTCTCTGCTTAACAAGAATGTTTATAACATACAAATAATAGAAAGTAATTTACATTGTAAAATGTCTAGGTGCAATTAGCTTTTTCTTTTTTTTTCTTGAGATGGAGTCTCGCACTGTCATCCAGGCAGTAGTGCAGTGGTGCAATCTCCACCCACTGCAACCTCCACCTCTCAGGTTCAAGCAATTCTCCCGCCTCAGCCTCCCAAGTAGCTGGGATTACAGGCGCTCGCCACCACCACGCCTGGCTAATTTTTTTGTATTTTTAGTAGACATGGGGTTTCACTGTGTTGACCAGACTGGTCTTGAACTCCTGACCTCGTGATCTGCCCGCCTTGGCCTCCCAAAATGCTGGGATTACAGGTGTGAGCCACCACAATTAACTTTTTTGTGTAATACTATCACCTTTTTATTGTTTCACATGATTTATCAACAATTTTCCAGAATTAAAATCAAAAGAATCAAAAGTAAGAGCTTTATCAGCTTTCCCAAGCTTGAGGAATTCTGGAATCTTATTAAATTAATATCTGTAACAGATGAAAAGAAAGCAACTTTCCATCCTCCTTCACACATGCAGCAGGATGAAGCTGCTGGAAGTTCATCTCATCAGGTGCCCCTGGGTCCTGCGATCAAACCCAATCTCACTGCCCCTATGACTTACCCTGGCACTCAAGACCCCCTTCAACCAATTCCTCTCCTCCACAAGGGTTCTCACACTCCCATGAGTGGGCTGCTAAGACACAGATTGTCCCTCCCCATCTCCACCCACATTTCTGCTTCAGAAGATCTGCAGTGGGGCCCCACAGTCGCCTAACAAGAGCCCAGGTGCAGCAACTAGTCTTGGGTCCTTGCTTCGAGAACCATGCCCCACCACACCCTTCTTGTTTGTTTATCGAATACTCAGGTGAATTCCCTCATGGACTCTTCTCTGGTTGCTCCCAAAGCTCACCGGTACCTATATTCATGATGTTCCATCCCAGGAACGCCCTTTCCAGCCATGTCCACACATTCAAATCTTACTCGTATCATAAAATTGTCATTAGAGTCATCTGAACTTGAACTTGGGAAACGTGGAATCTTTTAGGAAAAGTCTAATCTATCCAATCTTCATAATCACCTAGAAGTCTTTTAAAAAGCAGATTTCAGCCGGGCGTGGTGGCTCAAGCCTGTAATCCCAGCACTTTGGGAGGCTGAGGAGGGTGGATCAAGAGGTCAGGAGATTGAGACCATCCTGGCCAACATGGTGAAACCCCGTCTCTACTAAAAATACAAAAAATTAGCTGGCCATGGTAGCAGGTGCCTGTAGTCCCATCTACTTGGGAGGCTGAGGCAGGAGAATGGCGTGAAACTGGGAGGCAAAGCTTGCAGTGAGCCAAGACTGTGCCACTGCACTCCAGCCTGGGCAACAGAGCCAGACTCTGTCTCAAAAACAAACAAACAAATAAAAAAGCAGATTTCAAGGCCTGAACCTAGATCTAATGGAGCCAGGAATCTGTGCTTCTCAGATGCCTTCAGTCCCAGGTAAGAGTCCTCTTCAGGTGCCCGCCCTTCCTTGCCTCCCTGGGTCTCCTCCTGGAAACTCCTTATTCACAGCCCTAGGGGTAGGGAGCCATTCCTGGTCCCGGGCCAGTAGGAGAGGTGTTACTGCTGGAGTGAGGTATCAGGGCAACAGTGTGTGCCCAGTGGTCTGAACAGCTGGAGACCACACCCTTGCAAAGGAAAGCGCTGCCCAGCCACTCTCCACAAACTTCTCCAGAACGAGATCCGAACTTTCTGGGCCCAAGACTGTATCTGGTTCCCATCAGATTCTTGTTTTCAAACAGTTTGAAACAAGTAAAATAGAGTACAATTAACAAGTCACTCAGAAGATTCTCATATGCCCCTTAGTGAATGTCAGCAGGCCCCAAAAGCTCTAGCTCTCCTGACCAAGGTAATTTTTATCAAATATTCTCATTAAGAAGCCTCCAAGGAATGTCATATATGATACTAGTAATTTTAAAAACTTAAGTGAACACAGTGATAAACCAAGGCATTCACTGTGACTCAGCACTAACTGAAGGAATACAGCTGCCACTGTGGCCTGCATCATGACAGCATCCCCAGCACACGCCCCTCCAGCGAGGGTGGAGAGAACTACAAACTAGCCACTCACTAAGGCAAATGAGTATTTTTTTTTTTTTTTTGGAGACAGGGTCTCACTCTGTTGCCCAGGCTGGAGTGCAGTGATACAATCAGCTCATTGCAGCCTCGACCTCCTGGGCTCAAGCCATCCTCCCACCTCAGCCTTCTGAGTACTTGGGTCTATAGGCATGCGCCACCGCACCGAGATAATTTTTTTTAAAAAATATTTTGTACAGACAGGGTCTCAGGCTAGTCTCAAACTCCTGTGCTCAAGCAATCCTCCCGCCCTGGCCTCCCAAAGTGTTGGGACTACACGTGTGAGCCACTGCACCTGGTCCTATCAATTTAACTTGAAACAGTTAAAAAAGAGAGTAGATTCCGAAAAAATCTTGTAAAAGAGTAGCTGCCTCTATCGTCAGATTATGACGGAAACTAAACCTCTTTTACAGTTTTTCCTTCATAAATTCCAAGACAGGCTTTCCTACTGCAGATGGCATGAGCCCAGAGCCGTTAAGCACATGCACCCAAATACACAAACTAGGATAGCTGGCGGGGTAGCCATTCTCTATTCACCCCAATTACTAACTCATGCCAAAGAAGAATCCAGAGACATTCTTCCAGAGAGAGTGGTAGGAAAAGGGCCTTCGCCATCCCTTCCCCAGGTTCCCACACCACTCTTGCCTTCATGGCACACCCACAGATTGACTTGCTCAGGACCTAGCCCAACCCCCATCTAACATGCCAGGCCTGAAAGTCCAAATGACATTCTTCATGCTGCCTTGCAGCTGAGAGTTTCAGATGTGACTTAGGCTCTGCCTAAATGGGAATACTTGGGAAAGACGTTTCAGGCCCAGGTTTGGGGGCAGATGAGAGGAGAGAAGGCATCCATTCTGAGGGCACGGATCACAGATCCTGGCAGAAAAGGC